TGAGATTGAGTGAAGTTTGTTCGCTTCTCAAAATCTAAAATAAAAACACACAAAAGCGCATTTCATGGATCCCATCCGAATAAGGTATCCATGCAAACAGCAGCATACGCATCTGAAACAAAAACTTTATGAGCACACCGATTATTTCGCTCGAAACAAGAAAATAAATCAGCAAAATGCCGTAAAGCTAACATAAAAGAATCAATGAAAAATTTCCTCTAATTTGTAAAATATTTCGCACGAATATTCTCCCAATTATAATTTTCCACAAATTTTATCGTTCATATTCCAAAAGAGTAATTACTGTTACATTAAGAATGAAACTCATCGACTGATCAAATGTAAACGATAAATGACTGACGACCTTTAAATATGGGCAATCGAATGAGATCAATAAAGTTAGTGGTTATGCATTTTTAGCGGCAGCGATCATTTGCATTCTTGCGATGGCCTTATCCAATTGACTATCACCCCGAGTTGGGGCATTCGAAGTACCATTAATTTTAGTTGCAGCCTTGCAAGTTCGATCGTTATTTGCATTCACCATTGTTGGTGACCAGTGATTCACAGGTAATGGCTTTGAAACCATTTCCAATAATTCAGTCAGCTCCTGCAACAATNATTTGTGCAAAGAGTGCAATATGAATGTAATTATTTGTGCAAAGAGTGCAGCAATATGAATGTAATCATTTGAAAATTTCGGTGACATATTTAACAGTTGCTGTATTGCATATCTGTATTAATCCCAAAGCATATAATATTGGTGCTCGTCAACGAGTTTCCCTTGCTGCTCCACAGGTGCTCATCAATCGGGTTGCCCAGTGCAGACAATCATATGATAAGATCACCTCAATCTCAACTACTACTTTTACCATAATATCTAATTCACACTACCTGTTGCCATCGATCACTACTCTTGGTCGATGTACGCTTTTGCTGCTTCACTTCACCATTCTGAGTTTTACCCTCTTTAAGACTTGCCTGAAACTTGCTACTAGGAAAAGTTTTGATTAGAAACGACTGTAAAAGTTCGAACACAACAATTTGAAAATAGCAGTCGTAAATAAATATGTATACAATTTCGAATACCGAGAAACAAGAGATTAACAAGAGTTTCAAAAGTTAGAAATAAACAAACGAACNACGTACCTTCTGCCGAGTTCGATAGTTATGAAACCAGTTGCTGACCGTTCGTTGAGTGAGTGAAAGCTTTTCAGAGAGCTGTTCAACGGTCTTCTGTGATGGATGTTGTTCATGCTCGAATACGAATTTCAATGCTTCCTTCTGTTGTTCCGTTATGACGGTGCGCTGAAATCAATATTGATCAGAGGAACGTCATCGAACGACACATTTCACAAGCATCACAAAACGACTGCGATACACCTATTGAACGAGTATTTGCTCGACGGCACTCATTTGAATGAAATTATCACTAATTAAGCCAATCACTGATACGAGCCAATAAAGCAAATAACGAACCTGCGCTTTCTTAGGCGGTACTCCGTCAGTATTTTGTGTACTCAAAAGAGAACGTCTTTTATGCGATGAAGATTTATGCGTCGCTGATGCTGACGCTTCAAGGGACGACTTGACGGATACTGTCGACAGAACAGACTGAACCACATCGGATACGCTAGTTGCCTTTTGTACATCATTAAATTTACCGAGTTCGAGCTCTTCAAGCCACGAACTCGTCCTTAACAACGAATCGCTCTGTTCCGATGTGAGCGAGTCCCAGAGCTTTCTCTTTGTCACGCTATCGTGATGTGCACCTCGAATTTTCTTTGACTTCACCGATTTTGAGCTGCAACCATCCACACCCTGCAAAAGAATCACTTTTTCAACAACACTTCAATGAGATGCAAAAGAACAACAATTAAATGCACACGTTTGAGTATTACGCCGAAAAGCACAACTCATCAGATCCGCTCTTTTAAGAGCGCCCAAAATTCTCCTAATGAATGACATCGAATTCGTTAAATGTTCGAATCTTCAACTCAAATAAATAAGATATCAACGAAGGCGACAACGATAACGTACTTTTACCGTCAGCTCTCTTGTATCGCTAACTAAATCATTTCTACTCTTTTCCTCTTTGAATTCATCGCCAGCATCCTGCAAGAATAAATTTTTGAAATGCAGGATATCATAATCATACACTGTGCATAATCAAACCCATTCACTGCCCAGACACTTCGACTCACGTTGAATTATAGCTTCAAGTGCTCTCAAAAGGGACGAGAATTATCCGAGCAAAACTCCATCTCACTTTAAACGTTGCACATTAAACAGCACGACAAACCCCCTTTATGAACGCAACAAAATGTGAATGAATCGGAGAAGAAGCATCAAAATTTTTGACAATGTGACACGTACAAATAGTTTTCGAGCAACAAAAAAGGATGAAATGCATGACAGGAATGACAGAATTGTTCTTATTCTGCATATGTCTTCGTAGTTGGTGTATACTGCTCACCGAACAGACAAATCTCAAGCTACCATAACAAAACTTTCGATATGTGTTCATTAAAAGAATCGAATATATAATACTTACTTCATCAAATTCCTCCTCGAAAGCACAGTGTTTCATGCGAAGCAATCCTTCAACTGCGGCTTGTTTCGTGGATTCAGATTCGTTCTCACCATTTCTTGACACCGAACGGGAACGTGACGCAGCTTGTGATAAACTTTCGATGGCGTCTAAAATTATACGAATAGTTCAAAAAGGACTCAAAATTCAAAATCAATAGCAAATGTGAGCAGTGGTCACGCTTCTCAATGAGTTTTAACTAAAAGCTAATGCTCAAATTTCGAAAAAAAAACAACAAAACTTCCAAGTGAATACTGCAAGATGAACTATGAAAAGTGGAATAGAAATAAAACTTTCAATGAAACCTAAACGCTGCATTGAAAGATGGATTACGTACCGTTAATGTCCTGCTGGAATACACTCAGTTTATCAGTGGCAATAACATTGAACGTCGCAGCTTCATTAAGAAATAATCTCATTCGAATGAACGGTTCACGTCCCTTCTGTGTAAGCATCGCCCACGGCTTAGGGCGTGCCAACAGATCAGAAACCGATCCTTGTGATAAACCCAGAACATGCTCACCGAATTGACGTTGTGAGATCGAATTCGCACATAAATACTCTTTTATCTGTAAAATGTAACTTACACTCGTTATGATACTTCACAACTGAACATCATCAATCCGCTTCAAAAGAGTTCGAAGAAGCAATAAGTGAGTAAACACCGAACCTGTCTCACAAGTTCCTCAGTATCCAATACACCATATCGTTCAAGCTGTTCCTGTGTTATTGGCGACATACCAGTTTTACATTTAATAGCAAACAACGAATTTGATGTGATAGCGTTGGGCTGTGATAGAGTGGTATTGTTAGTGTCGTGGTTGTTGTTCGATTGGGAGAATGTGGATGACGAGGAGGATATCGATGGATTGTTTAATGCGGCACATGCCAGTGTTGACAGCGATGATGGCACTTGGGTCAACTCGGTCATCTCTTCCAACTTAAACTTCAATTTTCAGTGATTACCATCCAGAACTTTTTGAATGCTATGATGATTTTTCGGACTAAGTAGATTGCTCAACAAAATCTTGACATCAGTCCTGAGAAGTTGCTGATTTGTATTCAAAAGCGTAACTTCTCATTGCATGTTACGAATATGAAATCCATCAATATTACTTTATTGACAATTATCGATGCATTATATTGAATTCGTTGAATGTGCCTTATCTGGGGTAATAAGTCTACCGCTAAATCATTTATCCGAAGGCCAGAATTGATGAAACTATGAAATTTCAAATGATATTCGAACGAACCTTTTTCAGACTGTTACCGAATAGTTTCTTTTCATCCTTTGACTTCGTACTACCATTAGGCGTACTGCTACACGTGGGTCTTGACGCAATTGCCTGCTCCAAATGTGCTTCCTGCAAATAACTGTCGAATAAACATTTTTTTCCTTACAATTCCTTCAATCGTTAAAGAAGCAATGAGAGAGAAGTTCAAAATCATTGAGAATTAACACACATCAAACAATGACGATAATTAGGTGAGATGAAAACAACGAAAGTGTTGCAGCAATGATTTACACTACAGTGCGTCAGGTATATAGAGAAGGATTATGAGAACGCATTGTACATATAACGCATTAACAAGAAATGAATCATGTATTATCGAAAATAAAACAAAGTGTCATGAAAAGATGCATAATTAATCAAATGAATTACTTGTTCTCTCAATTTAGCAAGTTCATTTTGGAATATCGTGATGATTTTTTCTTTTGGAATGTCATCGTGCCTCCAACGACTACTTGTACGTGAACTGTTAGCAGCAACGTTGTTATTGTTATCAATAGTATTACTCTTAGTCGGTGACGGTGTGTTTGATTCACAATTGGCACTATCTGCGCTGCTGCGTCCTTTCAAATTCGTTAGCGGAACCTGAAACAGCGATAGAATAACCACAAAAAACATGAAAGTCAATTCAGAACGAGATATAGTCATAACATCAAACAGAACAAGTATTTTTGAAAAAAATATAGTACACAGGATTGCCTGAAAACAATAAGACAACATGATGAACATCATCGACTGAGGCATTAAATACCTCGTCATTGATTCTGGTGACAACTTTCTTATTAGAATTCTCAGTTGGAGAACAATTCGACGTTGTTTCAGTATGATATCGTGATAAAGGTGCCATTGGTGTACTCGTTTCCCAAAGAGATTCGGCTGAGGGTGTTTCAATTTTGATTCCACCTAAAACTGAACGATACAATCACAACAAGAACTCACTGATTATGACATTCACAATTCGACATTCAGCGATATTACTCAGTAAAATCACACTAACATTCAAGTTTCATCATATAATCATTGGAAATGTAACCAACCAGCCGGTTGAATTCGTCTTGGAGAGAGTGAGCAGAGTAATTCAATGGCTTTATCGTCAGAAATCCACCCATAAATGCGTCGGAATGCCTCACGACCTTTGTCAGTCAGCTTATTCCAATGACGCGGTTTTGATAATAACTCACTCAGAGAACCTTGCGACTAAAAATTTCATCATCTTATCAAAGAAGTTTTCGCATACGCAAAAATTCAAAAACGACATCATTTAACAGATTTATGTCAACTTCCATTAATCGTGTAAAACACTGATTATGTAAAATACTGATTGATAAGCTTCATTTGTAAATACTGATAAGATGAATTAATCATGTGAAACACTTCATCATCACTTCCAAATACTTCATCATCACTTACTGATTCAAGTCAAAAATTAACTTCAAATGCGGCATTAAGTCACAAAAAATGCCGACAATTATGTGAACAATTGCAACAAATAACGCAATAAAAGAATGAGATATTAATCACAAAGGGTGAATAAATCGCTAAAGATCACGCAGTGAACTGCAATCAATAAAAACAATAAACCAAAAACAAAATACCTTGACTACCTGATTCATTACGTATTTAGCGAATAATCGCTGTCCGATATTATATGCTACCATAAGTCTTTTGCATTGCCTCGCTATTTCGGCCGTGTTCAACGGGCGATTACCCAATCTTCGAACATTCTGTGCAACAAGTGCCTGAAATCGATTCCATCGAACTACTTCCGATCAATCGTAAACGCAATACTGCCACTCTTTTCATTTAAACAAAATCTCATTTTGTAAATATTCGAAACAGCAGCTCTGTAGCTGAAGTTTTCTTCGCCAAAAAGCTATAATTCAACGAAATTGTGAAGTCTCTGCGATGGCCAACCAGCTGATCGTACCTGTAATTCAGTGACAATTTTCGCTTCACCAGGTATACGCGTCGACTCTTGAGCATTGAACGAGTTACGATTGAAATCGTCCTCTGTAGACGAGGTACCACTCTCGGGAGTGTGTGTCGTAGTTGAGGATGAGCTTGCGGTGCACTGCAAATCATCGATGCTACTTAAATTCAGATCTGATTCCAAAGGTAATCTGAGAACAACATCTGCCATTGCGCTAACATATTCTCGCCATCTTACCATTAATAAACTCAGCAAATTGGCAGCACAACGTTGCGCCGCATCATTGCCATTCACGTCATCGCTTTGTGTACTTTGCGTGCTATCTTTCGGATTGCTGTCCACCTACAATGCAACACTCTCTTGTCTGTTTTTTTTTTCATTTCGTGAAATTCACTATTTAAAAAATTGGAACGAACCGTGAAATGTGAGCCAAAATAACGAATACATCAAATTTGTACTCACAGTATAAAGGAACGTAATAAACCGAAGCAAACGAACCTGCTCTTCACGAGTCCAAATATTCGTTGAATCGGCTGAACTGGTGAACTGTGAAGAGGCAACAATCAATCCCAACGTGTCCACCACAGATTGTAACGTGTCACAGTTGAACAGTGATGTTGCACTTGACTCAGTGCTACCACTATTCTTTACTGGTATTGATGATGAAGTTTCTACCTCTAAAACCAACCCCAACTGTGACGATTGATCATTGACAACAATGAGAAAGTGGTGCAATTCAATTGGTACACGTCAAAATTTAATTGAACTGTCCATGTCTCGAATGAAATCCAGTGAAAATGATGGTAACCCTTCAAATGATTTGCCCTTCAATTTGGAGTCTTTGGCATGAGCTTCAGATTATGGCATAACGTTTAGTCCTAGTTATATCTGATTCTTGAAGGACGAAAAACTCAAATTATCATTGGCCAATTTCAGAACAGAGCACCTCTTTCTTGACTACTACATAACAGACATTTGTTCATTTCATAGCCGAATACAACTCGCTAAACGAGAAGTGGAGCAGTGAACGCAATGAAAATGATCGCCATATGCAAATCACATAACATAACGAAACCTTCAAAATGAAATACAATTACATCATGCATGCACATATACATACACTCACCAATAAGCACAAAAACAAAAACAAACAACGTAATGAATAACACCACAAGCGATATGAACACAAAATAAAATGTATATATACCACACACAACAAATACACAATTAAACTGGTAAAGTTGGTGCGCCATATTCGGAAATGGAAAGGAATGAATAATCACGTTACGCGATTAGTTGTTTATTGTTATTTGTTCATCTTCACCTCGTTTTATATGTCGATTAAATTATCAACAAATTCCATGAGGACTAATCGAGGGCTTTTATTAACCAAATGGTCAAAATTAACGCAGCAATGACTCACGTCACACAGGACGGCAGTCCGAAACGATGGTTGTGTCTTTTTCTAGTAAAACACTCCCGATCATGAATTATATAAATATAGCAGATTAAGTGTTTCAGTTGCCGTTAGCAATCTATCAATCATTTTTTTTACACCGATTCGCATCTTCGGCCATGTTTCAATTCAACAGAAACTGATCACGAGTTCATTCAAGACACTATCGAAAATTACTCAACACTTCAAAACGATGTGCTGCTTTCATCACCACATCAAGAAAATAAATCGTTTGCATGCTAATTGAAAATATGTACTTTTAAGTACCCATTAATATGATCCTTATAAAATATCATGCACTTTACAACTAAACTGGACTTTCTAAACACTTTCTCATTAAGCATTCAATATGAAACAAAATTGGAACGATGCACTTAATTTGTGATATCATTCGATTGATTCCATCACTCAGAATCAATTCACTTCTTCGATACTCACCTGATTGTGCTTGAGACGCATGACTGATTTCATTTGATAGTTGAAAAATATTTCTTGCTCACTAATCACATTCATCAAAATGAATATCACGAAACTATGTGATATCTCATGATGAACAGTGAAGTCTTTCGGATCAATCACTCAATATTTCTTCACTCCAATAGTAAATACGAAACGCGACCAAGCAAAAACGCAACAATAACCAACCTTGAAGTTGTTGATTCTTCATTCTAAGACTGGCATTATCATTCTGCAGTCTTCGATTCTTATCGACCAATAACTCCTCTAACGCTTTCACACGTCCTCCGAGCTGTATTTCTGCGGTGGCCGTCGCAGATGAGGTCAGCCCTTCGCTGTTGTCCACAGCCATCGCATGCCCACTCCAACCCGCATCATCACCAAATTCAACACTCTTCAGAATCCTTCAACAAACATTTTTGCAACTGCAATCGAAACAAATTGCACATTCTCGAAATGAGAACAAGCCGCATTTTTATTGTTTGCTTGAAAATATCTAAAAACTGATTCTTCAAAATGCTGATGACAAAGACGATGACGACCGAGCAACAATAGAAAAACGGACTGCATTTGAACCGAAAGCATTTATCTGCTTGCTTGTTTTTTCTTTCAATGTTTTTCTTTAATTTTCTCTCAAAATTAACTGTATATCAATAACTCATAGCCAAGGCTTGCCACTGGTTCCAGTTGAAGTACAAGAACGATGACGATGAAATCTAGTTTTAACATTATCAAGTGAATAAACATGATAAATGAGACACGAATTACCAACGAATTGTAAAAGAATCAAAGGTAAAGAAAACAAACTTGAGTTCCTTCTTGATCGTCTCATAATCAGATTGTGCTCGCAACTGTGTTTCGACTTTATCCAACATTTCAGCGTGACGTTCCAGTTCTTGTGTTAATTCATCAACACGCAAACGCGATTCATTTGTCACTTCTGAGAGTTTTGCCGATAGATTCTTATTCTCTTCGAGCAATTTATGTATCTGCAATGAGAAATATTCATATTCACATCTCCACTAAAAGTATCACTTGAAGAACGAACGTGAACTGCGTTTCAAACAAACCCTTAACCCCATACTAAATAAACAGCATTAATATGAATACCAGATAAATAGAGCCAATTACCTGATTATCCTTGGACCGAATCAGTGCCGTATCACTTGTAGTATTTTCTGATGTAACAGCTGATCCTTCAGTGAGTCGAACAATTTCATCACGTAATCGTGCCACTTCTTGCTCTGCTTCTCTCTACAAATCATGAGAGAATTTACTAGAAAGTACCTNTCTCGAATGATATTTCAAGCCTGATCATCGCAATACAAAATTATCAGCAATTGCTCTCATTTCGGCGAAAAATTCTTTTCGTTTGATTTAAATCGAAAATTATTTTCATCTTCTGACAGATAAATAACATAAAATCTCTTCAAATGCATTTAAAAACTATTATCAACACTAAATAGTTCATGACTGTTTTTTGATCAACGTGTATAGCGAATAAGTACAGAAAAGAAGAATTCTTATAAATTGATATGATCAAATGAAGAAGAACACACAGCTCGTTGAAGTGCTTTCTCGAGATCACTCGAAACTATTTGAAATTGTTCGTCCTCGGCAGTTTCCTTTTGCTCCAGTTTCATTTTGAATTCATCCATCGTTCGATTTGCCTCACGATTTTTCACCTACGAATGGCAGTCAAAACAAATCGGCATTCAACTGTTAATATATCGGATGACTTCAACTTGGGTAGACGATTCAAATGAGTTTGAAATTAGTCTCAGTAAGCGATATGTTGTTAGAAGAATTTATCATCGATAGACAAACGATAGCATTTCAATTTGTGATTTTTTTCGGATAGGAGACACGATGGTGTAGTCTAATTTAGAAATTTCTTCACTTTCATAGAATTCGAGAGAAGATTCGTCGGACTATGAGAAAATAGAAAAATTATCAATTTTCAGCTGATTATTCAAGCATACGAAGAATCATTTTTTGCTCTTTAACTCTATGAATTGTAAGTATTTTACCGTATGATTGTAAAAATTTTTGAAAAATTTTTTGAGTAGAGGATGAGAGCCAAGATTATAAGTGACAATACCTCTAAATCAGCGATCGCAGTTGTCAGCTTTTTGTTTTCAATGATTAACTCGTCCTGCTTCGCGCTCATCTCCTCCTTATAAACATCGAACTCGGCCCTCAATTGCTTTTCCGTATCACTCAGTGCAACCTTAACAATATTCTCACTGTTAAGTCTGCTTCATGTACACTCAAATGTGATAAGGATGAAGTGTTAGTCTTAACAGTGATGACATTCGAACAAACTTTCAGTTCGTTTTTATTCGAACCAAGTTCTGAATCGATTTTTCAACATTTCGAAATTCCGATCGAATTTCAAAACTCTTCGGTCTTTAAAATACGAATCTCGCGAATCTCGTTAAAATACGAATCTCGGAATTCCCACCGAAATTCGTCGGATTTTTCCAATCGAACTTCGGTCATCGGTCAGTTACTATCACTAACGATAAACGTAAAATGCCACTTCATACATCGAATGCAACTGCGACTTTAAAAACCTACACAGAACAAAACAACCTCTGCACCAATGAATAAGCACCGTTCATTCACTAACAGTTAATCACGTGCTTATCTAAGCGATCTAAGTTTTTGTTTTCGATAACATTCTTCATAAATCGAACTGAATGCTCTTCTCACATAATTATCTTAACGAATGCACTACTCAGAATCAGAACATTATTTATAGGTTTAACAAAGACATTTAGGCAGTCATTTTGATTGCATTAAAAATGATCTCAGTCATACAATAATTTTGAAAAATACCAATTTATCAGTCAAACAACAGACGAAAAATATACTCATTTGGATTGCGTCAGCCTCGAAATGTACTTTTGTTTGATGCTGAGCAAAACGCAAATCGAAGTATGGATGAAGTACTACTCCTGTGGTCACCAAAATCATCAAGTTATTTCACGTGAAGAAGTGCTTAACGCTCCAAGCATGCAAGTTTGCAACCAAAAGAATTTCCTCATAATTCAGAGTTGTCTCTAGATTCAGAAAAATGCACAAACATTCGCACACAACATTCCTCAAGGCCAATAAAACACCATACAAGTTGGGAAGAATGACAATCGTATTTGCTACGATACTGTCTAGGATTAAGCCCGAAATGAAGCTTGCAGCGACCCGAGGGCGCAGCGAAAAGAAGAAATTCTGATTCTAGCTACTTCCTAACAGCTGCCATTAAATCGGTACATCACAGTCAGTTTTATTTCAGTTTTCGTTCCTTCTTTATTTTTTGCCACTTTCATCATTCAGTGGAACCACTTGGAACCTTTGCACATAAATCACGTGATTTGTTGCAATGCTCGCGATATCAAAAAGTGAGAGATCANTTATGCATAAATCAATCGTTCGTCAACTGAACTACAAATAAGTGCTCAAGATATCTTTCAGTGATTTATACAGTGAAAAAGATGGTGATAATGAATTAGCAAATGTGACGGATATAAAGTAGTTTAAGAGAAGAAGGGAATGATACCGCAAAATGATTAATGATGACAAACAAAAGAAACATGCATCGGAAATCGATGCACGCACAGATGCATATCCATAAGCCATCAATACGTCTATTCACTCATCAGACAAATCACCAAATCTAATATATTATATTATATAATACTGAACAAGCAACCGGCAACAATTGCAGCACATGTTCTAATAATAAAATCTTTAGTAGACTATTATGTAACGAATAATGATTAACGCAACTGCGACAGAGATGAGATCAACTTGAGAGTGCGATCTGAGCTGTTGTCGAGAATAGAACAATGGAGAATGAAATGAGGAATGGAGTGCACAGAGCGACTGAATCGAATCGACGGATGGAATAATCGAATGAATCGAACGCAATAATCGAACGATAGCGATGGGAAGCGTTTATGCTCATTTGAGCTAAGCAGCTAACAACAACTCTTCAGTGCCAGGCTCTTTGCTGGCCGCAGTCTTGTCTTGTCTCTGCGCTGTCCTCTGTCCTTGCGATAGCTATCGCACATAACCTACACAACCACAACCCATCACCAATAACGTCGATTCGAAAATCAATACATTCATAAACCCCTTCAGCCATATACAGAACAGGACAGACATCTATATATCTATCTGCATGAATATCTAACTGCTTCTATCAGCTTCAAGCATACCACCATCACCTCAATCAAACATTATTATCGTCGTTTGAACACTTCCCTCTTCTAATACAATTAATCACAGACATTCGCTGTTGCAATAATGCACGTCTAATTGATCTCTGCACACAAGTCATTTCATCACTCCTTATCGTTAGTTTCTTTGAACCGTTGTGCGCATATTCAAATAAATCTGCCTGTGGCAAGAATAATGCAATGCAATCCATCAGCACTTAAATGCGCATACCAAATTGAACCGACTGATCCGATTCAACTTGCGTCGAACGGATAATGGAAGTACTGCTCAGAGGACCAGTCCATACATCAATCAACTAGAGATAACAGATGTAAACCACTGAAGATAAAATACTGACTCAAGGCGTACCTGTACATTCCTGTCAGCTTCCGACTCAAGTTCTTTCACTCGCTCACGTAATTTGCGAACAGTTAACTCTGAAAATGAAACAATAATCAAATGAGGAATTTCACTGAGAAATATTTACCGATAATCAAAGTAGAATGAATCGAATAACGATTGATCACAGCAACAGAGGCATTTTTTGAAGTATTTCAGTTGCGATAAGACTGATATTCGTTGACGTAAATGCTAACAGCAATGGCATAATTAACACTCGAAAATGAGTACCTTGATTCTTTAAATCAGCATATTCAGCATTTAAATCCGCGACTTGACTCTTCAGAAGTGCAATCTCTTTTTCATAAGACTGTAATCGTTTCGATTTCTCCAAGAGCCCGCCAAACTGCTCCAAATACGGTGTTGGATCTGTGAATGTTCACGATTCAGTCATGAGAATAAATAATCGACATTTCAGAGAAATCAACCTATGAATATTTACAATCATAGTAAGCATTACGATCGCTCCAGTATGAACATAAGTAAGATATTACTTATGTGAATCACGTTATACATATCATGAACGCGCTTGCTCAACGGATTATACCATGAGTGTAATCGCCCAACGGGAACATCGCAATACTAACAAGTTTCTTCAAAAACCCTGAATAAGTGATGAGGCAAGAAACAAATTCATGTTATCACTGCTGCATGCTACCA